ACTCTTCTTCCTCTCACTTCCTAAGTTCAGATGAGCACTTCTCTTATACAGTTAAAAAGACAAGCATAAATATGTTAATATGTTTCAAATTTTGGTTTCTTACCTGGCATCTCATCTGGTAGAGCATAAAACAAGTTTGGATTTATGATTTCTAATATGTTTGCATGGATGGTTTTGTTAACTGGCAATTCTCTTGTCCTCCACTGCTCAGCGGGAGAGATGACTGAAAACACACCCAACACAGGTCTCTCATGAAATAGATCAAATTTAGTATTCTTTCACACTACTGTATTTACTCACTCAATAATTTATTCAACAGCTGACTATCAACATTCCCAAATTCTTAAAATGAAAATTAGTATTTTCACAAAATAATTTACTCAATTTGAAGGATTTTTGTAGACATTACAAAAAAGTTCAACCTGTAAAGGCGAAGCCTAGCTCTTGTAGTATTTCTGTAGTGTATTTCCATTTCTGTAGATTTAATTCTTAAACTTTACTCAAACTCTAGGAGATACATAGCTATATAATGCAAGCTATGGGATGTAATTACTTATTGATAACTATAAGTACATTAAAAGTGAGTACAGTGTTTAATAAAACTATCATGTCTCAATAAATTACTTTGATAACCCAGTGTGTTTCCATAATGCATAGTTCTACAGGAAAAAAATGTGTCATTTTGGGCAGAAAAATGCTCATAGCCTTTAAAAGCAAAGAATAACATAAACTTAAATTACAAATAAATGTTTTAAAAATGTTACCTTGATGCCCTGGGGTGTCAATTTGAAGATCATGCTTATTAACAGGTCTGTTATTTACCAAGTCTTTACATGGTGAACTAGCTCTTAAAACCAGGTGTTCATCAATCAGAACATCACTAATTATTCTGGGGTAGGAGGTAGAAAGATCAGTGAGCTCAACTCCCACTCCATTTTCAGTGATTTCAACCACTCGGGCTTGGAGTTTTATCCCTGTGACACACATCTGAAATCGTGCTATGGTTTCGTTAGTCCAGTGTTTGTTTCTAGGCTCTATTTCTGGCAAATAAGAACAGCATAAGAAAGAATTATGTGCCACAGTTACATTTTTGCTTCAACAGTATCTAAGACCTGCTCCTTGCCAAGTATATATACCATGTTCAGGTCAGTGATTCTGAGTATCTTTTTTCAATATTTCATTACATTAGCTACATCCTCTATGCCTGAGTTACAGACATTGTATTTGCACATATACTACTAGGGTTTTAGGAGGCTCAAGATCTTTCCTGACTTTCCCCATTAGTGTATTTTCACCTGGCATTTTTCCAAAAGGCAAAAATAGGATTATTTTTTCTTTTATAAGTCATCCTTGTGTCCTGTTACATACACAATGATAAGTCACCAATTATGCTGGAAAAAGATGTCTATAACTACACACTTTCAGTTTTGTGGGCATTCTTCTAATTACAAGTTCAAAATGCCATTTTAAACTACTTAACCAAAAATTATTTTTCTTCAAGAATATTTGCTTATATCCTATTTTCCTAACAGTGATTCTCAAACTTGAGTGTGCATCTGAATTACCTAGAGGGCTCATTAAAACAGATTCCAGGGCCCCACCCTAGAGTTACCAATTTAGTAGTAGGTCTTGGGTGGGATGGAGAACCTGCACTTTTAACAAGTTCTCATGTTGATGCTTTCTGGTCTGGGGGTCACATTTTAAGTGCACTGACATAAATCATGGTAACTAAAAGCAATTATCTGAAACATTTAGTGTAAAATAAATAGAAAACAGGCAAAATAAAAAATGAAAAGCATGTATGCTTCCAGACACGGCCACTATTAATATTTTGGTATCCAACCTTCCACAGTTTCTACGTGCATATGTAAACATGCACATGTACACTCATATTTCTTTTATAAAGAAACTTTAAAAATAATAGCTATTATGAGGAACACCAGGCACTGTTAAATGCTTTATATTTTTTCTTTTTTATTCTTGATGACTCTTTGAGGAAGGTACTATTACTTCCCAGTGAGGAAATGGAAGCACAGAAGAGTTTAAATACTTTGCCTGAGGTCTCACAGCTAGTAGGTAGCAGAGTTGGTTCCAAAGTCTGCCCTCAACCCTAATTCTATCCCTGCATCTTCCACAACTTGCTTTCTTCACTTACATCAATTCTTCATATCAATAACACATACTTAACATCATTTTTTAATTACTGTGTAATAACAACGCTTAACTCAAACTTTGAGTTCCTGGTCCTGTTCTAAATATTCACTAAATCCTTGTAACACTATGAAATCGTATTACCACTAGCAATTAAACAGAACATCATTTAACCAGTCCTCTACAATTGGCTATTAAGGTTGTTTGGTTATTATTAACAGCAATGTAATGAATTTCCTTAGAGGTAAACTTTGTGAAATTCCAAGTCTGTTTCTTTGGGATAAATTATTATAAGTAACATTACTAAGGCAAAAGGTAGGAATATTTGAAGCTCTTAAGGAATCCTGCAAAATGTCTTCAAGAGAAGGCATAGGTTTTCATACACATGAAATATTAAAGCTACAGATATTAATACTTAGAAGCTTATGTACCCTAAATATTAGAAGACAGTTGAGAAATTTTTTACTCTGTACCATACCTATTAGCCAGCACTGTATCCCTTGAAATGGAAGTTCTAAAAGTTTTGATGGGATCATTTGGAGTTCATCCACAGTAACTTCTTCAATGTTTCCATAATCCACAAAATGTACTTTAAAATTTCCATTTGGTAAGATTTCCTTGACTAAAGCACGATACCAATTACCATCACCTAGATTTAACACAAAGTTTGTAATGGAGAATATTTCCCTTCTGTTAGCATTTGAAATTTTTACCTTGAAAAAGATCCTTTGTTTAAAGTTAGCTAATACATTTGCTCTCTTCTCCAGATAATGCCTGTTATGTTTCTTATTCAGAAATTCCTAGAATTCTCAAAATCCATTTTTAGAATATCTCTAAAATTTTTAACACAACGCACTTTCACATCTGATCTAAATTAAAAACTTCACTCATACTCTATCCAATGAGTAGAATATGAAGGTAAGACTTAATACACTTGAATATATTTGTCAGTCTGGAAGATTTATAATACTCTCTTGACAAATGACAAATTGTTTAATTTGTTATTGGTAAAGTAACAAGAATACATAGAAAAACTTGTAAGGAAATTAAGTTCATCAAATATATTTTCAAACAGAACAAACAATGAATCTGCAGTGACAGGTTTCCCATCATCGAACTTATTTTAATATTACCAGAAATTCTGAAAAATGTTTAACAAAGTTTAAGTAAGAAAGTATCATTTGGAGGTTCCTTGTTATGGAGAGAAAAGAAAATATGACATCTTAAAGCATGATTTTGAGAAATATTTACTTAACCATCAGGAAGAAAATATACATGAAAAAGTGAGGGTTGAATGTCAAGAAACAAAATGTTTTAATAAAAATCAAGATTGCACCAACTGTAACTTACCTGCAAAAAATGCACAGCAAGGCTGCCCTATTTCTGCTTTAAAATCATTAGGCAACTTCTGCTGGCAATATTCTGCTAGCAATTTGTTCAAATCATTGAGTTTCTTTAAAGCTGAAAACAATACACATACAGCATTTAATATTTTTATTTAATGCGAACATAGATTTTCCCTTAAAGTTGGTATACCAAATGCTTTTCCGTTTTTAGTAAAAAACAGTACAATTAAGTCATTACTTAGTTAATGCTCTCAGTAAACCCCATACCAACGATTTTCTGGGCACAGTGACATGACTGTGGCGTTACTATCAATATACTAGAACATGAGCTTTGCATGGGGACAAGGAAGCAGTGCACAAGTCTGTACAGAAAGAAAGTTACATACAAGCTGTCCTGGAAGGAGATACGTAATGACAAAATGGGTGGTACAGTGTCAGCTAAGCAAATTCAGAGAAGTGAGTTCAGTGTGCCAGAAGTTTCACAGAGAAATTTGAAGTATGACACACTTGACAGAAAAGGAGAGGTTATTCCAGATGGAAGAAATGGCTCTGAGGAAAAGCACAATATTAAGCAGCCAAAAAAACAAAAAAAAAACACCCCACTTAGTAGGAGCAGTTTGGTAAAGCAGAAGAATAGAAAGGTGTTACAAGGAAGAAAACAAAACCAAAGATGTACTGGGAACATACAGACCATGGAGAGAGAGCTTTAAAATGTCAAGTAAAAGGGATCCAAACACTATAGAAGTTAAAGAAAAAGAAATGTCTTTCAAGTATGTGGCAAAGGTCCATTCACAGAAATGGAAATTAAATTACAACAAGTTATAACTGTTGTCTTTCAGATTAGTTAAGATAAAAAAGAAGACACACTATTGGGAATTATGTGGGAAAGGGTGCCCTCATACACTGTTGGCAGGAATTCCTCTGGCCAACCTCCTGATGGCTCTCAAAAGCACAAGCAGACTTATCCTTTTGACTTAAGGTTTTAGGGATTTCTCTCAAGGATATACTCTCAGAATAAAATCACAGAATACAAGAATTGTTACCATAATAGAAGCTTGGAAATGCTAATCATTTTAATTATCTACAACTAGGTTAATTAAATTAGGATAAATCCACACAGTGGAATGACATGCAACCATGAATAAGAATGTAGACTCAATAGCAAATGTGGTATCCTGGATTGGACTCTGAAATAAAATAAAGACATTACGTGGAAATAGAAAAGGACATGTAGTGGAATCCAAGTCTGGAGTTAGTTCATAGTAATGAACCATTACTGGGCTCTTAGTTCTAACAAATGTACCACAAATATGTAAGATTTTAACTACAGAGGAAGCTAAGTGAAGGGTATACAGGAACTGTCTGTACCATCTCTGCAACTTTTCTGCAAATCTGAAATTATTCCAAAATTAGAAGGGTATTAAAAAAAATAGAGAAAACACTAAGTGAGCTGATATCCAAGACACAATGGGAGAAAAAAGCAAAGTGCAAAAACTATTTACACTATTTCATCATTTATGCATACATAAAAAGGAATATATGCATTCATACAGCATGTACAGAGTACTTCTTCAAAAATATTTTGAAAATTGAGAGGAACTGGGAAACTTACTTTCTACTATATACTCTTTTGTAACTTTTGAATTTTGTACCACATGCTTGTACAATCACCTATGAAAATAATGGCATTCATTCATCTAATCTGAAAATACACATACCCTTTAATGTGGCAGCAATTTCATTCCTAAGTACACAGTCAATGGAAATGCATGCACATGTGTACTAGATTTGCATGAGAATTGTATGTTCATACCAACGTCATTTTATAATAGCTTAGAACCAGAAACAACCTGAATGTCCAACTGTGGGAAGGACTAATACATTGCAGTACATCAATGCCACGGAACACGCTGCAGCAACAAAAACACAAGCTGGAGCTACTTGTAAAAATGATGGACCAGACCAATCTCACAAACAGTCAAACAGTGTGAAAACAGCAACAAGGCACAGAAGAATATACATACCATACGATTCCATTTATATAAAGTTCGAAGCCAGGACAAAACCCATCTATACTGTTAGAAAGTAGAATGGTATCTGCTTTTTAAAGAAGGTGTGGTGATCAGAGGAGACATAAAGGCAACTTCTGGATTACAGGTATTAAACTTTACTTCCTGACCTAGGTGTATGCTACCCATGTTTTGATTTTTGTGGTAACTTAGGCTGTGCTGTTATTTGTGCCCTTCTCCACATGTGTGTTATGCTTCAGTGGAATCAAGAATTAAATTTAATTTTCAAAAATGAATTTCAGACAGTGTGAAATCTAAATTCATTTAAACATAAAGATTGTTGAAAATAGAAATAATGGCTTAAATGGAATAAAAGGCAACCAAGTACAGCCAAATCCTTCTTTAAAGTACAAATACCCACTTGGCCTTCCTGAAAGACACTACTTTTATCACTCAGTAAACTCATCCAAAGTTATTATCTATGGCGACATATTTGCAAAAAGGAATAAATGAGACAGGCCAGCTTACCATCCTCTCCCAGCACATGGCAGTAGAATTCTCCAGGAGTGTACAATGTACAGACCACGACATCTACTGTTTGGTCAACAGCAAGCTTAACCCAGGTCCATGTCAATGGATTTAGTTTTGCTTCAGTAGCCAAGAGGACTGTGAAAATAAATGAACATTTTGCAAAACAAAAGGCCAGAGTTGGGGGGAGGGCGGTCACTAAGGAATGTGCTTTTTTGAAGAATTTCCAATGATTCTCCTAGTGACTTTATAGGAAAGTTGATTAGGGTTAAAATTAATCATTACTACCTACTGAACTCCAAATTCACACTTCTGTCTAATCTTCAGCTGCTAGTGACCCAGTATTATCTTTTTTCCCCAGTTCTCACAATTCACTCATTTATACACACATGTATTTTTTTTTTAAGTTTAATTTTAAAAGATTAAAGTAATTCAACATCAAATCTTTTTGAAAGGACAAGAACCCACACATTTCACAAAAACCATCTGAACTCCAACACTGATGTTAGCTGGTAGATATTTTACTTACCACTGGCTTCCTTTACGTCACTGGGTCTTTGCATCATGCGCTCTTCACCCACAGCAAAGCCTGCGTCTATGAGAACTTGACTGACATTGATGTTAGGCGTCACAGATATATCTATAAGCTCCACCACGGAGCTGTTTTCCAACTTGTCTGCCACTTTCACTGTGATCATCTTGTTCTGTACAACTTTTTTCATCAGAAAAATAGCTTCTGGAGTCCAAATTCCTAATGATGGCTTTACTCCTAACAAAGAATTTTTAAAAGGTCATTAAAATATTTCTTATAACAAGCATTTACAAATTTAGCTCCTAACACCCACCAAGGTAAAAATTTCCTACCTGCCAACACACACTTTACAGCTTGCATTGGCAATTCCAACAACTTCGGGGTTATAGGACAAAGTCTTGTCAAGCTAAGGATTTCAAAGTTTCCATAGTCTACATATCCAACCAGGACAGATTTTTCAGAAGCATAAGCCAAAATGGAGGCCCGGTACCACTGATCATCCTCTGAAAAAAGGCAAGAGTCTCAAATGAGTTTCTAATGTAGATATAAACAAAAACTTTTCCTCACAAATTTAGAGATAGTCATTTGTATCTCTACATTTTACTACAGTATATCACGCTTTAATGAAGAATGTATGCTTATTCAACGTTATTACTTTTGCTTACCAGACACTTTCAACTCCTAAAATATCACCTTTAATCACAACTTACCAGGCAACTCGTGTCATATGCTGTCATTATTTACTTACATGCTCTGTCTCCCTAGTAGACAGTTAACTCCTTAGGACAGAGAACATGTCTTGGTCATGTGAATGAACCCACAAGATCTTGATCAATATACGAACCATTTGCTGAGCATCAAGCAGGGCTAATTTCAGACTTCCTCACAGCGTAAGTCAACCAGACTCCACCAACCAAACCATCAGTTACTGGGGGCTTACTTGTACCTCCCCTCCAGGGAGTCCACTGGCCACACTTCAGAAGAGAATACCTGAACCCGGTCACCACCAGGGGAGCCCTGTGCCGCAACAGAGGCTGTGCCAAGGTGGCTCTGGGCTTGCGGGCCTTCTCCCTCTTCCAGAGAAAACGGGTGAAGACGTGACTCTAGGAGGCAAACAGCCTGAGGCGGCTATTTGCATGCTGTTGTAAACAGAATTATCTGTACCAGTCTCCAAAAACTAAAGGGCTGATAAAACAATGAAAACATCCTTTACCACCAACTCCCAACATCGAGAGGCCCTCCTCCCTTAAACATTTTGATTCAACTTAACTGGACATACTATTTTAAAAACTTGATTGGTGGGTGTACTTTAATACTCAAAACTCCAAATGCAGCCATCCAGTGCAAATTGAAGATTCTGTTTCATTTGTTTTTACTTAATTGTAAGTAAAAAATTCAGTAGTACTTTCATTCCTTACCCAAGAATTGAGCACAACAGATATCACCAACAGCTGGATAAAAATCGGAGCGTGGAGACACTTGACCGCAGTACTCGCTAAGGGATGCCTGAAGTTCAGCGAGCTTATCTATAAATACAGATCACATCTTAAATAAAGAAATACAAATCTATACATTATCTTCTTTTTTCGCATGTCAAGTCTCTTGATTTATGATATCAAGATAAAATAATTCAAAAAAAATTTACTTACGTCCACTTTGTAGCTGCTGACAAAAGAAGTCTTCTGGAGTCTGAACGTGGGCAACCACACCACAAAACTCATCCCCTACATTCACGGTTAACACTTTGGGGACGAGGTCATTTCTATCTACAACAATTTGGTTTTCATCTGTCATTTTTCCACCATCTTGAAGATCACCTTATCGGGAAACACAAAAATTAGCCATTTTGGTTTTGTTAACCCAATTTCTCAGTTTTTCGGACCCAATCTGCTCTTTCGACACCTGTAGGCCTTAACCATGCTGTTCTTTTTTCCTGGGACTCACTCCAACCTGCCACTGGTCTCACTCTTTCCTGCTCAGTGTTGGTGTCGCTTTGAAAAGGCTTCTCTCCAAATATGGGTTGGCGCCCTACCACAGTGTTCCTGTCGCACACTGCACTTCCCCTACCACGCTGTTTGACAATCTCTTTCCCAGGTGTCTGTACTGCCCACAGAACATTCTCCAAGAAGGCACCACCGTAATCCTTAGAGGGGTCAATACTGCTCAGTGGATTTTTGTTCCTTCCACGGGATTCCTTTGTAACATTTGCTATTACTGACGACTCCCTCCTAGAAGTCATCCCTTCCCATCCCTCCCATCACAGCTTCACTTGATGTTGTAAGGCCCCAGGTTTATCTCCCTCACCATTTTACTTCACTCCACACTCTCCCTATGACACTTCCAACATTTACAGTTTCAACCATGACTACTATAACAGCAGTACTGTTTGGTTTTCTTCCCTAGTTGGCAAAGAACTACTGAAAGCTTTTCAGCAAACCTGTCATACCAAGACCTCTGTTTTAGAGGCAGAACTGCAAGAAAACAGGCAGGAGAAAAAAAATAAAATTAGAAGGTTGTTACAATAATCCACGAATGATAAGGATTCCTGAATTAGGAGTAAAAAGGTAGATTTTTTTTTTTAAAGAAAGAAAAAGATATATACAAAGGATATTTAGGAAGCATCAATAAAGATCTGGCAACCAATGGGAGGTGAGGAGTAAGCAGACCTAAAGATAAGTCACGTGTGTTACGGGACAGGATGCACCCATCACTGCACCATTGATGAGACAATCGCCTCTGGGTGAAGTGAGCAACAGATGGTGGAGTATGTCTACACCCGAAGTAAATGGCAAAGGACCAAAGGAGAAAACATTACAAAAAACCAACACGTAAGACTATGCAACAAGAAAGCAGAATGCTGACAGCAAAATTTCTTGGTTCTCGTTAGACTAAATGAAAAACTATATACACATTTAACTGAGTAGTAAAAAATTAAAGAAAGCCCATCTTACCAGAACAGAATGTTACAGCCCTATTTATTATTGCTGGAATACCTGAATAAGGAAGAAAAACTAATTAAACTAAGGAAATGTTTGCTAAAAATCCCTCACCCTAAAGAATCATGACATTTAGTACTTGATAATCTCTGAGAATTATCATGCCAAGGATAATATGGAAGCCAGGGAAGGGAAAAACAGGCAAGGAAGTCTGAGACTGAAACAATATGCTGCCAAACAGAACTTACCATCTTTCTTACATAAGGTTTATAGGATGATTATCATTTCCATTAAATATGACAGAGTCTATACTCTTCAGTATTAATCTGTATTCTCACCTGGATCTGCACTTTGCTTCTTAGAATCTTGTCCCTTGGATTTCAAGCCATATCCCATTTCTATGAGTACATGGTCTAAGAGTTTTCCTAAAAGTATTAAGAAAATGTACCTCCACTGAGATGATATACCAAATATTAAAGGAAAAGCATAAATTTGAAACAAATGAGTCTTAACCACATAGAGATTTTAGATATTAATACACTGGCATATTTCTTAAAGGTTCAGTTTCTATGTACAAAATAAGAGTTTACTAATCCTCAGCTTTAAAAGTCAAGGCAAAATTCCCATTATCACATGAAAGAAAGTTTAATGGAAATATTTCACTTCAAAATTCCAAATAACATGGAAGATTTAGTTACCACCTCACTGAAATTCTTGGAATGCCCACTGTTTCTAAGAAAAATAAATTTAACACACAAAACTACTATTTTCTCAGGCATAAAGTAGGGGTGACACAAGGATTAGCCAGAATGGACATAAACCTCAAGTTTCCTAAAATAGAATCCAAAATCTCAAATCACGACATGAAACATGGCAAAGAAAAAAGATTTTAGACTTAATTTCACAACAGGATTAACTGAATTTTCTACCAAGTCACAAATCGATGTCCTCTTAAAGCAGAAGACTAACACCTACCTTGCAAACTGAGAGGCAATTATAAGCAAGCTGTAAGAAGTGTAAGAAGTCACTTTTCAAACACATATAAAGCCAGAAGGGGAAACAGGATTCCTAAATGTTTTCATTGCCACAACTTAAACACTAAGTATTTATTGTTTCACTGCTAACTGTGAAGGCTGTTCAAAGAAAAAACACTGACAAGGATGGAAAACTCATGAGTTTTTCTCAGTGAGTGAGTAGAAACCAGGAATAGATACTACAATGGCTACAGTGAAAGGGTAACACTTAGTTCTCTCTGTACTAAACCCAGATCTAGCCTTTTGATCCACCCAATTCTAAGAATTTGTGCCATGTCTCGCTGACAAGCTGTCGCTCCCAAGAGCAGGGCCGAGGCCATCCTTTCCGCCAAGATCTGAATGATTCCAGACCACAGCTTGCTTGGCCTCACTCCACGTTTCTATTTCTTCTCTAATAGGTAGAGACTAAATATATGTGCACCGTTAAAAAGGTATAAATATTCAGATCTTACCTGAACTTGGCAGTGTAACATCCACAGCAAAGGAAACCACTTCCTCTTCTGCGATGTCAACAATCTTTATAAAGCAGCAATGCTCCATTAAGAGTGATTTAATAGTTTTGATACAATCATTACTCCAATTTCCCTCTGCTGGGATAACATTGGCCACAAAGCATTTTATGGCCTGCAAGATTTTATTAAGTTAATAAAAATATTGTTAGTTGAAAATGACTTTTTCCAATTAATTACATGAAGATATTTTAAAGACAATATATTCCATGCTGAAAATTCATTAAAAAGCTTCAAATACTAACCAGAAAAACAATTTTACATCTAAGTGCCTGTCTCTCTCAGTACCCTATCCACAGTGCTTTTCCTTTGGGGACTTAAAGCTTGAGAAAAAGTAATAACTATCAGTCAGTTACACATACATTTTGGATGCTTCCAAATAACATAATAAATGTAGAAATAATAATTTTAAAAAAGCATATTGGTAAGATGTCCCTAAAAATGCTGTTTCTCACCTGATGTACGTAACTACAGAAGGCCTACTCAATGAAGCCAAGAAAGGCAAGAATATTTATTTACATAATAAATGATATACCAATAGGTACTTCTTCATAGTAACCACAGCAGAATAGAACAAGCAAATAGTGTGCCCATGACAACATTAAAAACAGATCCTTTGGGACACTATTAGGAATTTAGAAAGCAAAAGAGACTCACACAAGGAGGAAACAAGTCAATGTTTTTCTTCAGCTGATGAATCCTGTTTACTGGAATTATTTCTTCATTTCCATAATCAATGTATAAGACTTGTGCCTTCTTCTGTGGCATATCAACGTCTTGAATTTTCACTCTGTTCCAGGTCTGAAAGTGAAACATAATGGTGTTCTGCTTCAGAAGGGCATTCCACATTCTTAGGTTTAAAAACGCTCAGCCAGGGGAGGCTTAGAACCTCACCGCCCCCGTTTTGAGAGAAATCTTCTGCATCCGTGGATGTTTTGCTGCCCTTGTCTAGCTTGGATTAATACTTAGTCTATAGGCACACACCTGATCATCTACATTTGCCCTCTTACAGCACTAAACTATGTTTTCTACCTTTATCTTGCATCTACCTACCACTTCAGCATTTTATTAA